TGGAAAGGCGGTTCATCTGCGCGTTACATTTGGCACGGATGAGAGGGATATACTTTCTATTATAAGTGCGCGGGATCGCTGGTATAAGGGGGTTGATTCTACGTTTCCGACGCGCGAGACTTTGAACGAGTCGCATGATTTGCCGGATTATGGATACGGGAATTCATTTGGCTTGGAGGCTGAGGATATGAAACGGGAAAGCTCCCGTGCATGGGACTGGTACTATAGTAGGGATGTGGGTGCACCGTTTAGGAAGAGGCAGCGCATTCGGAAGCTCAAGGAGAATGACGCTCGCTCGGTCTACTTTCCTCGTTCCCGAGGACCACATACCGTGCTCGCTGGCCCGGTTGATAACCAGAAGGTGTTTTCCCTCGCGCAGAATGATGTGCTTGATTTCGGCGAGGCATGGGATGATGATGCTTCTACAGCGCAGAAACAGGGGAAGCAAGCCAAGACAAAGCAGTCTGAGCGAAAGAAAAAGAAGCGAGAGGGTTGGCTCATTAATTTAGGGAACAAAGTCCAGTGTTTGGCCTGGGTGCCAAATCAAACTGGCCTCACGCAGTATCTATCCGTCGTGGCCCCAATCCTACCGGACCAAAAGGAGCAGTATCCAGATCCGTACAAAGACCAGGCGGCTCCAGCATTCAGACCCTCAGCGCCCTATCCGTCTGCCCTGCAGCTTTGGGAGTTCAAGGCTGAAGAAGCCGCGTCACTAACCAAGACAACCGATATGACCTCCAAGCCGCGATTACGCCTCGCGCTGTGTACCGACTGGGGCGATCTGAGGCGAATGGCCTGGTGCCCAATGCCTCGAGACCCGCGGAATGAAGACGACAAAGACGCGCAGAAGAACGTCGGCCTACTGGCAGGCATATGGGGAGACGGCTGGGTGAGGGTCATCGACGTCAAACTGAGTCGTGACCCTAACCAGACCGAATACTGTACGTCCACCTACCAAAGCAAAACCCAAGGCACAAACTGACTGTTCAGACAAACTGCAATCCCCCGTCTTCGAAGCAAAACCACATTCGACCGTATGCACCTCTGTAACATGGCTCTCTCCCAGCGACGTCGCCGTAGGCTGTGCCAACGGATTCGTCGCCATCTGGAGCATCGTCTCATCGCCATCCTCCCCCTCCAATCCCATCCCCTACTTCTACCAGCAACTCCACTCGACGTGGATCCTCAACCTCGCCTCCGCCTACCCAACCCATCCCTATCTCATCAGCACCACCTCCATGGACGGCGAAAGCCGACTCACCTCCATCATCGACCCCCAAAAAGACAGCGTCAGCGCGAACCGCATGCGTGTAGGCACTGCTCACCTCACCTACTCCCCACTGCTGCACTCCTTCGTCTCGGGCGACGAAAACGACTTCCTGCGCCTTCTCGCCATCCGCCGCTTCTTCACCTCCACCGCCGTGGCTCGTCTCCCGAGCATGGTCTCCGCCCTCGGACCCTGCAGCTTCTGGCACCCAAGCCTCCTCGTCGGCTGCACCGGCGGCACCGTGCAAGCCACGAATCCCCTCCGACGAATGATGCACGCCAAGGAGAAACAATGGCAACAGACCTGGTTCCAGCATGAGTGGGCGCGTGGCTCAGGCTCAGGCACAGGCACTAGTCGGTTTCACGACGGCTACCGCGCCGAACACACCAGCTTGCTGCGTAATCTGGTCGGTGACCCGAGACTGATCAATGGCACGGCGGTGATTACGATCTTTGATGAAGAAACCCACGTCACTGCGCTCTCGTGGAACCCGAATCGCGTGTGCGCCGGGTGGGCTGCGGCGGGGATGGGATGTGGCCTGGTTCGGGTTGAGGATTTGGCGTTGTCTTGATTTAGGAATTGGAATGGCCTGATTGTAAAGACGAAGAATACATTGGTCATAATCGAAGAACCAAAAGAATAACTGTTCGACCGCTAAATGTATTACGTAGACTCTTATGTCTGAGGAGTATCATACATGCATGCAGGGTCCGTCGATCAGCAGCATCTTCATGCCTGCCTGAGGCTCGTAGGGCAGCATGCGCCTCAGTAAATACTGATACTACTCTCTTGAGGCATGAATAATATGACGTTCAAATGCAAGACCAGGCACATATACCTAAGGTATATGTATGTTATGCCGTGGAGAATGCCAATACTGTTAGATAGCATAAGATGATGAACCCCTACCACACGAAATCACCGAACTCATTGAACAAAACCATCAGGACTACTACTGATCGGTCTATCTAACAAAGACACATATATTACAGCGACCCGTATAGTGCAATCACAATACTTCTAGCTACTTACTATACACTCTCCATATTTCCCAGCTTGGACCATAACTAAGTGCCTAATTCGATAGGCACATAATAACCACCAAACTGATATCGGCTACAGCCAATCTAGCGAGCAATTGCAGATGATGACGTCTCGTCTCACCTAAGTTCATATTGTGTCATGTCATGACATGAATCTCAAACGTTAAATCTTATCTTCTCGTTGAATAAGTGTGCGTACGTATCACTATTCAATTTCTCTCCTGGAGATTGCTTACTTTCCGGAATCTTCTGGATGGGTTGCGTCATCTCGGTCATGTTTGATATTACTATAGTTCAATAGTTCCTGGAGGAGGGGGGGTTCATGTACAGGAATGGATGGCGCAATCTTTCACTGTCTTTTTTTTCTGTACTCTGCGGTGCGAGTCATATGAAGGGATATTTGGGAAACATAGGTATAGCGTAAGCTTGGGATATGGGGATTTTCTGACTAGATGGATATGCTTTCTTAGCGTAGATTTCTCTGGTTGTGTTAGGGTTATCCCAGTAGGTGTGGGAAGAAGAAAGTTAGTATCTGGTTTGGATTAGTCCCTGATGGTGTGATACTACTATTGTTTACCTTTTGGGTTAGTCAGGGCATATGTGCTTTACTTTCTCTGGCTGTGAAGTATTTCTGGGGTTCTTGACCAGATTTCCATTCTACTGATATGTTACTTACCTTTGGAACTCACTAAAATGGCTGCTTTTTCTCATATAGTATCTAGAAGAAGCAATCATACGATCTACAAACATATACCTATACTACCTACGACGGAGTAAATCCCTCAAGGCATATCGGAGTATATCTACTTGCAACGCCGCGGCCGGAGATATTATTACGCGGCCCACTGTGCATGAGATAACCGCTGGCCACGAACCAACATCATGTCCCCATGGCTGTGGCTTTTTTAGCCGCTAAGTCGGTCACACCGCAGCCAGATGCGTTGAGCTGTCCCTTGGGATCGGCACGGGGGACCGTGGGCGCTTGCATGGTCGATCACCGAACCTCGAGAGGGTGCGTGCTAAATAAAGGGATTTTATTGGGCTGAGGAGTGAGCTACTAAGATAGGATATACTTAGTAACGCCTGAATGGCTGGAACCCATGGCGCGAGTGAGTTTGGATGGATAGCTGTAGATATGGATAGAATCCATGAACAAAATCTCGAATCCCACTGCAAAATACTACCATAGCAGTAGCAGCACTTACCTATACAGGTAAACAGACAACGGTTCGACGCGTAACACACCAGATATCACTGTGTCCGTCGTAGAGTGCATGCTTCTCCCCTATGCATCCGGAGGTGCCGTAGGAGATGCAGGCAACTTCGAAACCTGAGTTGGCATCTAGATCTGAGGGAATACGGGGAAGGAGATCCCGAGGACCCTGCCTGAGCTGGGCTGTGATGCGCTGTGATGTGATGTGATATGATATGCCCATGGCAAAATGCTGATCCTGCTTTATTAGCTATCCCTGTTGCGGTGCCATGCCTAAAAGGGAGTAAAGATGAGGGAGGAAAAGGGATAACGAGTCTTTAGCGTTTGGTGGGTTGTCAGTCGTTGGTGGTGTGATGGAATTCATCCCCTACTGACTTGACTCAGTGCCATTGCCGATACTGTTATTCTGTACCACCACAAACTGTGTTTCTGCTGTCGAGATAAGGTGTAAACGGGGGATAAGTGGCGCTCACACCGCCGCCATGTTAATGCTCCGGTAAGCTCTGCTGGAGGTTAGAAATTCAGAGCATGACGTAGACGTGATGGAGATCTACGGTCCAGACTTTAGACATTGTGTGATCCAAGCAGGATGTAGTAAGTACGTAGTAACAAGGGCAATGAGACAGTCTGAGATGAACCTGGACTGGGCTGTGAGGGGATCAGCGAGGAAGTAGATTAGAGAAAAGTGGATCCCTTCCCAGCCACTTTGGATTTGACAGCAGAGGAGGGCCCGGTCAGGTCACGGGATTTCCAGCTTTAATTAGCACGTTTAGTGCCATTTTCTTATTTTTGGCGCGACATTTAGTAGATTTAGTTAGAAAATAAAAGTAGTTGTTTCTATTCATTATCTTCATCCATTGGCCATCTAAATCATGCTGCCTGTCCAAGATATAATTGGCACAAAAGAAATCAATTAACGCACAGGGTCTTTGCCGCTGGGAAAACGGCGATCCGTTGTTTCTAGTGCCCTTCTGCCCACCAGAAACCAACGTGGCTGGCAGAAACAGACTCCATCCATCCCATCCCAGCCTCCTTTGACAGTATCATGATGCGCCAGCCTGCACCTTTTATTTTTTTTCTCCCCGACGATGGGGCTTCGTGCCGTGTATGATGGCATATACATCTGCCGCACCCGTGTAGATCTTGCTTGCTTGTCACTGATTTTTTTAATTTATTTTTTCTAGGCGCCAATTTTTGTTGTGTTCACAGCCTGGTTGGTCGGTGTGTGTGTGTGCTGTGTTGCTGGTGAATCCAAATCATAAATTGAGCCCTTGTCTCGTCGGTTGTTGCTGTTGCTCCAGTTTCAAATCACTCGGTCTAACCAAAAGACTCTTATACTAAGCATTCTAATCTTCTCATAATCCTTGTTTCGTTTGTTAGACTATCTAGTTTGCTTCTCTGCCTCTGTGTTATATCTGTCCTGGTCTTCCCTTACATTCAGCATCTACAGACCTTTCCATATTGCACCGGCAGCACCATGCATACCGCTGCTCTCTTCCTTGCCCTCTCCCTCTCCGCCCATGCGGTGCCTGTCCTCAACGCTCGTGGAAATGACACTGTCGAGCGTAGAGAAGAAGGCCCTTACAAAGTCGTGAATGTTGCGGGTCCTACTACTCCCGTTGTCGAGACCATCACTGCGACCAACCCTCCGGCACCGCCTACCACTATCACTGTCACTGAGTACCCTTCGTCCACACCAGCTTCTGTGCCTGGCGCTTCTCCCTCACCTTGGAATGCCGGGCCTAACGTGGGTGGTGCTCCGCTGGGTCGCCGCGACACCAACAGCAGCGCAAGCGCACTGAGCCGACGTGCGATGTTTGAGGAAGATGCCCCTACCAACAGCACCCTGAGCCGGCGTATTACCATGAAGGATGTTGATGCTACCAACAACACTGCGAGCCGACGTGCGATGTTCGAGGAGAATGCCCCTACCAACAACACTGCAAGCCGACGTGGCATCCTTGACGATGCTAGCAACAGCACCTTGAGCCGACGTGCGATGTTTGAGGAGAGTGCCCCTACCAACAACACTGCGAGCCGACGTGGAATCCTTGACGACGCCACCAACAGCACTCTGAGCCGCCGTACGATGTTCGAGGAGGATGCTCCTACCAACAGCACCCTGCGCCGACGTGCTATGTTCGAGGAGGATGCCCCTACCAACAGCACCGAAAAGTATGTGATTGCCGCTCGCAGCAACACCACTTCCGAAGTTCTGGCTCGTAGCCTGAATGAGACCGCCGTGCAGACTCGGCAGCTCAAGGATGCCCTTGTTTCCGAGCACCACAATGCCAGCGATATCAGTGGCAAGTTCGGGATTATGGCCCGGGATACTCAGAAGCCCGAGAACGCCACTGATATTGGCAGCAAGGTTGCAGTTCACGCCCGGAACGATACAGTTTTGCAGGCCCGGGCATTCAATGACACACCCTCTGACACCGCCGTCATGTCTTCCAGGCCCCACGCCAGGGGCCTGAACTACACAGACTCTCAGGCGTAGAGTCATCTTCAGGGGTTATTTGTGACGCTTACCCAGGTGCCTGCCATATCGTTCTGGAGGTTGATGAATTGGATGCGAACGACTGGTATGAAACACGTTTCATGAATTTGATGGATAATGAGAAAGTGGTTCTTTAACGATTTCGGTTTTTTGCATCGTCACGACAAAATCATGACTGCTCATGGTGGGGGTGGGGTTATGGTCATGATAGCATGCATCTGTAGGGGCGTTTTGATTTTTCTTTTTTTCCCGCTTCCTTTCATTGCTTTTTTCTTTATATTTTTTCTTATGGTTCTCTGGCGGTTTTATGCTCTCTTGTGGGAAAGGTTTTTGTTGATTTGATAAGAGGTAGCGATTGCTTTCGTTGCGATTTCGGGTTCATACTAGGTCTAGATTGTGGTTGGGTTATTTTAGGTATAGGATAGATTGCTATAAAAAATTGGAATGACTGGATGATATATGAAGAAGCACTTGATTTAACTACTAGAAGACAGCAAATGGACTGAATAAACCGGCCGCTGTTTGTGATGGCAAGCAGTGTTCAGAGACACATGAACGGATTACATCATATCGTTGTATTACGTTAAGTTATTTTACTAAGTACTTTGTTTATTAGGGCTTATTGTTTTTTTCACATTTTTATTGTTTTGATTTCTTCATCCTTTTCCCCTTGTGTTTGATATTCTAGTCTAGATGTACTGAATGGAACAGATTTAACTGACGTAGTTTTTACTCGGCAGTGAGGTCAAAATCTACTAGGTTATAGCTGCATCATGGGCCGTGTCTATATATCTATTCATTGCCCTCTTTGGATGGAAAGGCAAAGGAGAGATAAAAGCGGACACTTTTGCCGTAGGTACATGATTTTACATCATGAGCTTCAGACGGATGACTATGCTATCTCAAAGTCAGGCATTACATCTATTCAACCGCGCCAGCCTTAACGAGCAATTCTGCTATTCTAGGCCGGTCCATCGATCGGGCAAACTTCAAAGCTGTGCCTGTGATACCATCTTGCTCACACTGCTGATTCAGGTCTATCCTTCCTGAATCCAGTAACAGCTTGACCATGGCCTCGTCATTCCGCATGACCGCCACAACTAGTGGTGTTATGCTTCCCGAGAACGATGGGTTCGTCTCTACCGCCTCCATATCAAGCAGTAGCTTCACCATGTTATATCTTTTTTTGTACACTGCCATTGCGAGCGCGTTGTATCCAAAGTAGCACCCGTTCATATCGATGCCTTTAGTATGAACGAGCATTTCGACCATCTCGTCGCTTGAGAAGAGCAATGCGAAGATCAAGGGTGTGCTTTTGTCGCAGTCTTCGCGGACATCAGCTTTGCCACTATTAAGCAAGCATCGCACGCTTGCTACATGATTTGATTCTATGGCGTAGAAGAAAGGTGTCTGACCAAAGCTGTCCTTCATATCCCAGTCTAGTTTCCCACAGTCAAGCAGGAGATTAAGGACCTCGACATTACAACAGGCTGCAGCGACGTGGGAAATCCTTCGTTCCGCATTATAGTCCCAAGCGTCTTCGATCTCCTCGTTTTGAAGGATTCTCTTAACAACCGAAGTCAGGCCGAATTTGGCGGCCACCCACAATGTATTGCGGGTTTCATCCCCCCCGGCCCCGGGATCAGCCCTGCACCAAGAGGCAAAGACATCGGATTTTGGATTACAGATTCTGGTGAGGATTGGCTCCAGGTTCTGGTCATCTTCCAGTGCTGCAGCCTGTATATGGGAAGACCACCCGTCAGCAGAATATTTGGAGAAGTCTTGATTTATGTCAATCGAAGTTAGATTTTCAGCTGAATTGGTCTGATGAGCCCGTGGCATAAACTTGTCGATATATGTGATGCAGCTGATTGCAAGGACGCCTTGTGCCTCCTTTGGATCAATTGGGCCACGTTCGCTGCAGCGACCAAAGCCATTTTTCTGCGCCAGGAATTCTCGTGCTGTTTGGTGTAGGAAGAACACCTTCTTGTTATTCACTATTAAAAGTAAACCACACCAGCTTCGCAACGAGGCCTGAAAGTCTTCGTCCGATTCTAGATCCAGCTCATCTGAGTCAAGGTCTAGATTGACAGCAATGTTCATCTCCGTCAACGTCAAGGGGCGGGATGCAGCCAGCATAATGCAAAAGGCCTTTCGCGCCATGTCCATGTCCTCAGATTTACTAAGGATCTTGCAATATGAATCGTTGACGTCCTTGGGGAGCTTATCGATGAAAACCCTGTCAATCCCTTTTTTGACTTTTTGAAAGCTATGTGTTTCGAAGTATTCAAAAACAAGATGGACCCAAAGGTATGTCCGGTGCTCCATTCGAAGTAGTCGCTCTTCCAGGTAGCTCTGGATGGGGGCAGAGAGACGCTTCTTTCGAGCCAGGCGCTCAACACGATGTTTGATGACGATGTTCACTTCTTGGCCGATCTTGTCGGATTCATTTTCGCCCGGTATGTGAATATGGGGAGAATGATGAATGAGCTCTTGGAATTCCGATATGATATTTTCGTACGGTCGGCTGGTCAGGAAGAACCTAGCCCTGGTTCCACCATCGTTTTGAATGGACTTAATGTTGCCTGTCAGGTCAACTAACTCGGAATCCTTGCATTCATCTAGCGCATCCAATACAAAGATGGTTTGTCCCATAGCAGGGTCCTTGATGACCCGGGAAAAGATATCCCAGAGCTTAGTAACCACGTTGACGGTTTCCTGCCCGTTGTCATTGATTACGTTCATTGCAAGCTTGATCAAGTCAGGCTTGTTCGTAAAGATCTGATGCAGCAATGCGCAGATAGCTTGTTTCTGTGTATTCTGGTCTCCATCCTTGAAAAAAAAGTAGCATATCGTGGCGGATGGATTGCACTGGGGCAACACATTGTCGATGAGATGCTTGGCAAGAACAGATTTGCCACAACCAGGATCTGCTGAAACGATCAAAAGCCCACTATCATCGTCCAGCCACTGGTTAAAATGGGGCTGTTCTAGAAACCATTCGCAGGTGCCCTCGAGTCGATCATCAACTCGGCTCTTGTACAATTCATAGGAAGAGTCCTCCTCATTTCTGGCCAGGCGGAAAAGCTGCCTACATCTTTGTTCCTTGACCGACAATGCTTCCTCATGCATCTGGCGTTGGAGGTTGAGAGCCTCGATATCCACTTCAAGGTGCCGTTGTGCCAATGGAAGAAGCTTTTGCATTGACTCAAAGTTGTGGCGAGTACTTTGTTCCACTTCGTTTAGATGCCGTCGGGATACCTCGGTGCTAATGGTGGCAGCATCTTGCTGGACCAACTTTTCCAGATCTTTGATCGAGGAAACCATGCCGTTCCAATCTTCCGGTTGGAAGATATCACCAGCGAAGTTTCGCTGCCAGCTGCGATGGAAGCGCAGAACACTCTTGACCTCAAAGTGCAGGATTTCCTGGTACAACTTGACAATGTTGGCATTGAATTGTTCTTTCAGCTCCGTATGATCCGAGCTCGGGCTGGAAGTTGACCACAAAATCCGCTCCAGTTCGACATGATAGCGAATGCGACCGGTGACATACGTGAATCCACTCTTGTTGGCCTGTGCCGCACTCTGGGGGTTCGTCAGCAATGGCAGGACAATGCAGACCCCTGCCCATGCCAACGACGCTTCTGGCGATGCCTTGACCGCTTCTCCAATGAAGTCTTTCACGGACAAAATCCAGCTTGCAGCTTGGGCCAAGCCTTCCTGAACACCCGTCCTTTGGATTTCTGCCTGATGAAGCCCGTGATTGATGATGATGTCCAAGTCTTGTTGGCGGTTGGTTCCATTCTTGCAAGAATTATCATCTTTCCTTGTTAGTATTCAATACCCAGGAAAAGTAGATGAAACTCACTAATCTCCTGTCTTTGTTTTGCCAATAATTCTTCATATTTTTCAACCAAGCCTGGATCGAGATTCTTATACGCCTGGTCCCAGAGCGATTCATCACGGGCCGGTGTTTCCTTGCTGAGAGAAGCATCGGTTGACTTCACAGGCCGATCTTGTTGAGCTGGCCGAGGACCAACTGCCCCGTTTGCAACCGCCGTGTTTGCTGATTGAACATGTTTTTCGTGCGTTGGCTTCTTTCCAAGCAACCTTTTCAATCCCAAACAACCCATCTTGCCCGTGCGTGTTTCGGGGGTGTTGACGGGGGGAAGAATCTGTCATGTCAAGTCCGATTCTCTCGTCTGCGGCTGAACACGCAGCAGCTGAAAGATACGGCCTAAAGATACGGCCTAAAGACATGGCCTAAAGGCACGGTCTAAGCACCTAGTGAAAGGCGTGATAGGCGTGATTGCTTTTGCTGCTCCATCCCCGAATCCGCTACTGAGGGCAGGGATGTACAACCAGTGGTTTCCAATACATTTTTGGACGATCAATCTTCCTTTCCATTAACCAAACCTCTCCACTTGCGGAGAAGATGCCCAACAACTTGATCGACGGAGTAGACTTCATCCGTACTGAGGGCATACAATTAGTCGTTGACGCCAGTTAAACCCGACGTAAATTCATGTGTTCGTAAAGACTGGGTATACGGACTGTTCTAAATCGAGGCTCGATCAAATAGATAATCGAGCTTCGCATACGGAATTTATGCCTAGAGATGGAAGTCAACAGGCGCTATGGTTTCCCTACGCAAGGACGAACTGATGGCAATCCTCTGCGCCAGTGGAAACTGCAATGCTTGTTCAATACCACAATGTCTCATAGCACACTACATCCAGTTGACTAGCGGGCTTGAACCTCCGCCATCGAGATTACCCCGCATGAGGATGATCTTTTATATGCGCATTAGGATGACCTTTATGTGCGCCCCCCATGCGTGAGTATTGTCACCCCATCTGCCTTGCGTTTTTGAAAACCCCCTCTGCTGGCACTGTCGGCAGCCTGGTCATGCCATTTGATCTCTCCCAGGTTCAGGGAGTGCGAGAGATAGAGACTAGCGGAAACTAGACTCGGAAGACATGATTTGTCCTTACCATGAAGACATCGACTTCACTTTCCCAACGATATTCGAAGTGTCTTAGGACCTGTGTCTTTGGCCAGCCTGCTGCTAGCGAACAATAGTTTATACCCTGCCGTGATCGGGGAACGCGAGACGAGGTGTGACGGATGTGGAGATGGTGGGATCCAGAGGCAGTCCAATGAATTAATTGAACTCTGGTTCATTACAATATGGCCACGTTATCTTTCATTTTTGTCGACGTCAGGGAGTTGAGTGCAGTTTAGGGAAGTTGTCCCCTGCAGAGACAGACGACTGAGATGAGGGAACAAGCTGTCAAATGCCTATCCATCAGCCTGTTCGGTCACCAGCACGGGGTCAAGGCATTCTTCAAATATTGGCCCGGCAAGATATACTGGCACTCAAAAGTATTAGTACAAGTCTCTTCAGAAGGTCGCGCGTGGTGCTCCCGTGGTAAAAGTGCATATCACGATATCTATATTCTCAATCCCCGAGAAGAAAGAAAGTGTTTATACCTGGGGAGAGTGTGACGTACAGCGATGGGGCGGGGATTACATAACCCACGCCCAGCCCCAGGCCGTAAACTAACTGGCATTCTGATCGCATGTCCGCATTCGCATTCACCTTCCCATCCTCCCACCTTCTCCTGCTCCTGCTGTCCCTTTTATCCTACTCCTGTCTATGGATCAGGAGCTGTTTGAATCCCCGCCTGATATTCTAGCGCATCGTGCCTTTCTGTTGCTCCCATCCACGAATTCCCCTCTCCGCCCCTCCCCCTTTCCGACCAGGTGTTTAAGGGCCGATTCAAGCCACTGAGTCCGACACTCCCCTCCACATCATCACCTCATATCCGCCATGGCCACCCCGGTAGCGGCCCCCGAAGACCAGAGCCGTCTCCTTGAGGAGGCATTGGGAGTCGTGCGGCAACAGTCGCAGATGATGCGAAAATGCTTGGAAACTCCGGGGAAATTGATGGATGCGTTGAAATGCGGGTAAGCTTGAGCTTCGGATACTCCAGGCAGCAATGACATTGGGATCGAGATAACTGATGTCTTCTGCCAATTGCTTCAGGTCCACCTTGGTATCCGAGCTACGAACCCCTAGCCTGGGTCCGAAACAATACTACGAACTTTACATGGCCGTCTTCGATGCCCTGCGACACCTCTCCGTCTACCTGAAAGAGAACCACCCGGTTAACCATCTAGCGGATTTGTACGAGCTCGTTCAATATGCCGGAAATATCATCCCGCGACTCTATCTTATGATTACCGTAGGTACGGTATACATGTCTGTGGAGGATGCGCCGGTCAAAGAGATTATGAAGGACATGATGGAGATGAGTCGAGGCGTGCAGCATCCCATCCGCGGGCTGTTCCTGCGGTACTATCTGTCCGGGCAGGCTAGAGACCACTTGCCCACAGGCTCTGGAGACGGTCCGGAGGGCAACTTGCAGGACTCGATCAGCTTCGTTTTGACAAATTTCGTCGAGATGAACAAGCTGTGGGTGCGACTCCAGCACCAGGGCCCTTCTCGCGAGCGCGAGAAGCGGATGCAGGAGCGCCGGGAACTGGAGCTGCTTGTTGGTAGCAACGTTGTGCGACTCAGCCAGTTGGTGGATCTGGAAGGATACAAATCCGGTATACTACAGGCACTGCTGGAGCAAGTCGTTCAGTGTCGTGATGTTTTGGCGCAGGAGTATCTCCTCGAAGGTAACATGACGCAATTGTCTGTCGAAGGTCTGGCATGCTAATTGAGGGTGCAGTAATCACCAAGGTGTTCCCTGACGAGTTTCACTTGCACACCCTTGATCTCCTGCTATCCGCAATCAGTCGACTCAACCCCCACGTGGACCTGAAGAAAATTGTCATTGGATTGATGGACCGCTTGTCAGCTTATGCAGCTCGTGAGACCGAGTCGTCCGCCGAGCCCGATGCAAGAATCAAGAAGGAAGAGGAGGCTGTCACCAAGCTCCTTGGGAACCTCAAGGTATCTGAGGAGACCAAGAAGGAAGCGCCGGAAGAAGCAACCCAGGAGAACGGCGTGGAGCAAGCCGCAACGGATAACGCTGAACAGGCTGAAGCTACGACAGAAGGCGAGCCCACGGCCAATGGCGACGACAAGGCTGGAATTCCAGCCGATGTCAAGCTGTACGACATCTTCTATGAACAAGTGGTTAACCTGATCAAGAGCCGCGGTCTCCCTATTCAAGACACAATGGCGCTTCTGGTTTCGCTTGTCAACCTGGCTCTTAACACCTACCCGGATCGCCTAGAATTTGTGGATCAAATCCTCGACTTTGCGACTAAAGAGACTGCGACGTATGCCGACCACGCCGACCTGCACTCTGCCCCGACACAGCAGAACCTTTTGCACCTCCTTACCGCACCTCTCCGTTCCTACGCCTCCATATTCACGGCTCTTGCCTTGCCCCACTACATCCCACTTCTGACTTCGCAATCCTACACGACCCGGCGAGCTGTCGCAGGCGAAATCGCTCGCAGTCTTCTCAAGAACCGAACTTTCATCACGACTACGGAAAACCTCGACCGCGTGCTGCAAGCCCTAAGGGTTCTGATCAAGGAAGGCACTCAGCAGTCTATGGGCTATCCTGGCATTCAGTCTCAGCGGCGAGGTGAGACTGATGAGACCATTGAGGAACAAGGGTGGCTTGCACGTCTGGTTCATCTGATCCAGGCCAAAGACAATGATACCCAGTTGAAGGTAATGCCTCTTCCCAAAACGATATGACCACCACTAACCTCCTTTTAAGTTACTCCAAGCAACCCGCAAGGCCTACCTCGACGGTAACGAGCGTATCCGATACACAACACCGGCCCTGGTCACGAGTTCGATCCGTTTGGCACGCAAACTCAAGGCCCGCGAGCACTACGACGACAACTGGCAGTCGCAGTCTTCAGCCCTTTACCGGTTCATGCACCAGTGTGTCAACAACCTCTACCAGCGTGTGAACCCTGGTTGTGCTGATTTGTCCCTGCGTCTGTTTGTGATGTGCGGAGAAGTGGCGGACCAGACGGGCTTCGAAGAGTTCAGTTACGAATTTTTTGCACAAGCCTTCACCATCTACGAGGACTCCATCAGTGACTCACGTGCTCAGTTCCAAGCCGTCTGCGTCATTGCGGGAGCTCTCCACGGCACCCGCGGGTTCTCCAAGGAGAACTATGATACCCTCATTACCAAGGCCGCTCTGCATGGAAGCAAGCTGCTGAAGAAGCCCGACCAATGTCGCGCTGTATACCTAGCCAGTCACCTGTGGTGGGTTGTCGAGAACCCCCAACGAGGCGAAGAAGACCCCAAGAACGTAAGTCCACCTTCATCTAGTGACATCCCACAGTCAATTTCTAACATCAATCAGCTCTACCGCGACGGCAAGCGCGTCCTCGAGTGCCTCCAACGGGCCCTCCGCGTCGCAGACGCCTGCATGGACACTGCCGTGTCCGTGGAACTCTTCGTCGAGATCCTCAACCGCTACGTCTACTACTTCGACCAACAGAACGAAACCGTCACGATCAAATACCTCAACGGCCTTATCGAACTCATCCACTCCAACCTCCAGACGGACGAAAACGAGCCCAACCCCAGCCTGGAGGGCCCGAAGCGACACTTCCAACGTACACTGGATTACATCCGATCCCGAGATTTCGAAGGCGTAGTCACCGATCCCAGACAGTGAAATTGCATGACCCTCCTCCCGTATGAATGAGCGATGTCACCTACCACTACCACTACAGCCCATGTATCCCCAAACATCCGTTTGCCCTGTTTTTTTTTTTCTATTCTTCTTCTTTCTCTTCCAGCCTCGCGCGTGTAAGATTCCCTGTCCGTTCTCTCTCCCCACCCACGTCTATTCCTTCTGCTTCATGAACCGATTATCACCCTACCCTACCCTACCCTATCTTATGTCCGCCCTCAATTCGAGTCGATTATATCAATCAGTGTATCATCATCTTCACATCATTATCATACCCTATTTTTTTTTTCACCTTTCTTATAGTTGCTAGGGAGGAAAATTTGATCTCCGATAGAAAGCTTTTGATTCCATTCTACTTATATCATATTCTGCTATTCTAATTTACGTCTACTGTTATCATTGATAGTATCCTGCAATTTTCTATCCTAGGATAGCTTCTACTTTAGTACTACTGGGCAGAGACTGAAGACACCTAAAAAATGGTGCTTACTACGTAGTGAGTATTAGGTAACTAGTTGGTTGGATACTAGTATATTGCCTACGATGCCTTACTATCTAACTAATCAATACTTCATACCTTATCTGGTCGCCACTACACAAATTTTACAATAACCCCACCGTCCAAAATTGAACGGTATGAACTAGAAAAAGAAGGAAGAAGAGAAGGTAGAAGAAGTTTAAGTACGGAACGATCAGGATCAGTCAATCAATTGACCACCTGATAAAGATCCGATTCGCATCATGCAATTGTTTTAACACGGAGTTTCAAACGAACATGAGGTATTTGGGAGCCTTTTGGAATAATGCTCCTTGGGAATCGCTACATAAGGGGGAAAAAGGGAAAAGCAAACAAGAAAATGGCGGGGGTTTCACTTTCAGTACACCCACCTGGATTTCCGGTGGGGAAGTGGTGCAAGCAAAAACAAGCAAAGCGAAAAGAAGAGAACAACGTAACGTACATGACATGATTGATGTCTGTTCAATGTGCGTATGAAGAGAAGATGGAAAAGGGGAACTCGGAACACGAGGAAGCTCATCAGTGATGTGGTAGGGTGGAGGAAGATAGGAATGAGGATGGAAGAGGGTTTGATGACATGATGGACGCTTTCATTCGGTAGAGTAGGAGGAATTGATGGAGAAGGAATAGATGACGGAAAAGGGAAGAAAGTGAGGATGTCATCAATGATTCTCGTGCCATTGCAACTGGAAGCCTAGAACCCCGTAGGGGAAGAAAACTGTCGGAGCACGGATGGTGTTGATGAGCCGATCCCGCCGAACGCTGGAAGACTGCTACTAGGAACCGGACTGCCGATTTCCCCTGGAACAATGCTGCCTCTGTGACCTGAGGACGCACTGTTTGTGTCCGGTTCGAACTTGACACATTCCCCCGTTTCATCGCTCCTGATTGAGAACGATCCGCCTCCGTTCTGCGAGTTGCCTTCCGTGTCGCAGATGTCCAGCATTTCCTTCAACGAGATCGGAGGCTCATTGGGCGGCCGTAGCTGATTTACCTGACGAAGGACAACGTTCACATCATGGTACCCACTGGCTCCCTTGGAAGGGCTCATCATGTTGAGTTGCTTGCAGGCTTGGATGACCAGCAGTCGTATCGTCACGGGCCGAGAGGCATGCGCACGGTGGTGACCGCCGGGAGCAAATGCGTTGTTGGACCAGCCACTTCCTATAAAGGTCGTCAGTTGATGGCACAGAAAGGACTGACGTCGAGGTGAAACTGACCAGGTCCTGTTCCCCATGTGGGAGCGCTGGGGAAAGGAGACGTGCCGAAGGGAATCTGTGTACTCCACGTGTTTCCTACACTCGGGCCAATCGGGAAACCACTATGCTTGGCTGCTATGAAGTTGTCAGCTTATGCGACAGCCATGACTACTTGTCAACGGTACTTACCTAGGGGATCTGCGAAGAGGGACGTTCCTGCAAAGCTGGCTCGGGTCGGTCCAGGGAAGGTGCCAGGAGCAGTCGCGCCAGGAAGCGACTGGGAGAGATTCGAAGTAAACGGAACATCACTGTCATCGAGAAGAGCACTGCTGCCCAGATGCGCACTTAGATCATCCACATCGCGCTGCGCTGACCGGTTGTTCTGGTCTTGTTGGGTGCTTGACGGGCGCTTGATAGGGCTAGGCCGGGAGATTGGGAAGGCATGCGCATCCAGAGGCGACCGCTCAAACGAGCTGGACGGCTGTCTGGAATGAGCATGAGACAGCCCGCTCGGCTGCGCAGCGAACGCATTGGTTATGGGCTGCTGATGGAATGCTAGACCATGTCCTGGATCGAGCGGAAAGCCACGTCCCGGAGGCATAGGACGAGTTCCGTTCATGCTTGGAAGCACGGGCAGTCCACTTGGCGCAGGAAACCCTCGCAGTTGGTTCATCAGCGGGCCCGAATGCGGCGGGTATGAAGGTAAGTCATGACCAATCGGTGGACGGGAGACCAGGCCCAACCCAGGCGGGTTCGATGGCGAGAATCCGGGTGGATGAGGGCGGTTCAACGCACCAAGGGGAGATAGGGGAGTCGAGGGCTGGGGGTGGTGAAGCAACGGCGGTTGTCCATGGCCCTGCTTGGACGTAACGCTGGACGCTCCTGACGACTGCGACGGCGCCATCGATCGTGGGGAAATGGATACTTGTGATGGCTCGGTGCTTGCAGGCTGGGACCGCGGAGACGATGTATGGGAGCCCTGTTGAGACGGTTGCCGCGGCCTGGCAGGTGTCGGAGCTTTGGGGACAATAGGAGTAGCAATTTGGTAATGCGGCGACTGCAAGTATGCAGGGAGCGCCTGGGCGTGTTGCAAGCTGGCTGGGATCGGAACCGGTCCTGTATGCGACACTCGTTTCGCTTGGGGATCGCGTTTCTCCTGACCTTCGTACTCGGTCTTGGGGGCGGCCTCCCGACGTGTCTGCGCATCCTTGACTTGACGTTCTCGCTCATCCTTCGTCTTCTTCTCCCGCAGGTCGTTTTGCCGTGCTTCTTCTCGTCGCTTCTTCTCCAGCTCCTTCTGCTCTCGTTGCTTTCTCTCAATCTCAGCCTGTCGCTCTCTTTCTTCGCGCAACCGCTTTTGCTTCTCCGCCTCCTTACGGAGACGCTCCGCTTCTTGGGCTTTGCGTTCTGCTTCTCGCTTCTTCTTTTGTTCCTCGCGCTTCCTCCTTTGCTCTTCCAGCTTCTTCTCCTGTTCAGCCTTGGCCGCAGCTTCCTCGGCCGCCTTCTCCGCCTCCCTCCGCGCCTTCTCTTCCTCCTTGGCCTGCTTTTGGAGCTTCTTCTTATCCTTCCTCTTCTGAGCCTCCCGCGCTTTCTTGGCGTTTCGTTGCTCGTTCCGCGTTTGCTCCTCCATGAGTTCCTCGATCAGTTTCTGCTGACGTTGTTCTGCGACCTTTTCTCGATAGGCTGTCAAGACGCGCTGCTCGAACATTCGGGCCGCAAATATTTGAAACATCCGTCGGCCTTCCTCCATGCGTTGCTCTTCCGTCATGGCGTCCTGCAGAAACGAGTCAGCTTGCACTGCATCACCACCCGGCCAGTTCCCGGAGCTGACCATTTCATCCTCCTCATAATCTTCATCTTCCTGACTATCGTAGTCCTCATCCTCTTCCTCGTCATAATCGTCGTCATCTAGAGGACCGTGGTTGTGGCCGCCATGGAGGGATTGGTGTGCTGCTGCTATGCCGTACTGGGTATCCTCTTCACGTTGCATTCGGCGCTCAGCTAATTGCTCCATCATGTCGATGAAATGTTTCCCGTCGTTCTTTAACAGATCGTCCGCGACTGTAAGGATGCCATCTGCAAGTGATGCAAAGAGATTAGTATCTAGCTTCCGAGAATTTAAAAAGCCTCGGTCGTCGCCTACCTTTGACAGTTAGACTATTCCCAAAGGCGAAGAAATCCGCGCGAGCTGCACGGGTCTCCTCGTCTTCGTAATCGTCGTCGCTGTACGGCTCGTCATCCTCATCATCTTCATCGTAGTCCTCCTCCAGATCCTCGTCGTCTTCCGGCAACTCATGAATTCGGCCTCGAGAGGGATGAAATTGGCCTTGCGTCCGTGTATGTTGACCGGGTGATCGTAGAGGCGGGTGGTATAAACGCGGAGGCGGGACCATGGGCGGGCCCTTCTCGAACGAGCCTTGGTTGTTGTTGGCGTACTGTTCCAACTCCTCATAGTAGGCGTCGTATAGTACTTCCAATTCCTCCTCGATGGCTGTCCTTTTCCTCCCACATACGGTACAACTGCACGAGTGTTTCTGCTGCTCCTTCATCTTTTTCAGAACCGCATCCTTTTCAACCTTGACGAGCTGGCGTCGCTCCTCCTCCCCAAGCTCAAGCCAGAACGTCTTGATGTTCTCTCGCTCTTCTTGCGTGGAGGTGTTCCAAATGCTGCGGTCCTTACCCGTCTTCAGAAGCGTATGAGGCAGATGCGGCGGTAATGGCGGGGGCAGATGCTGTGACATGGAGACAGAAGGGGTGGATAGAGGAGTCGAACTTTCATCGCCCATGGTCTGCGAGCCGGCCCGATTCTTCTTTCCTTTCTTCTTCTTGGATTTCCGAGCCGTGGCATTTTGTTGGCCCGGTTGCCCGTTTGACAGACTCGGCGGGCGGTCGTCCAGATCATGTGTCGCGTCGTGAATTTCCTCATAGTACGTTTCGCCGTTGGCGCGTTCGTCGAGGTCGTGCTCGTCGGATACATGAGACGCTGGCGCGGTAGGGCTCAGACCGTTCTGCTCAGACATGTCCGCGGAGATGTGGCCGTTTCCGAACTGACGCTCCGCAGCCAAGCGGGCGGCCTGTTTTTGTCTGCGTTTTTGCTTCTTGCGGTTAACCGACACGGGTTTGGAGTCTGATAAGGGAAGTTGGTCGTGGTGGTGGTCGTTGGGCGCATGGGCCTCGCCGTTCGTGGCGTGTGCAGGGATGGATGTCGACGCAGGATCGGACATTGTGGAACCGGGATTCGGCCGGGGCGTTTGCGGCGGAGCCATGGGAGAAGTGAGGACTTAGGAGGCTATGATAGCGATGGGTAGGGAGGACGAAGAGGGCGGGCTTCTCAGTCTCCTAGGATGTTCCGACCTAAGCACCATGCTAGGGAAGCGTTCCGGCGGGAAAAAGTCAGCAGGAGGGTACGGCGGAGATAGCCAGGTAAGAGATAGTAGCGAGGGTGTAGACTCAAAGCTCACCGGACAGCGGTCGGGGACGAAGGCTGAGGAGATTATTGGGGATGGAGGAAGGGACAAGGGGGAGGCCCAAATCCAGGATGTCTGGTGAATTAACACGAGGCAGGCGAAAATAGAGGCCGCGGGTGGAAAGCAAGCGCCCAGGTGAATTGGGGTGAATCCCAAGGGTCGACAAACGGGGAACGAGGGCGGAGAGGGGTGGAAAGGACCCGGGAACCGCACGACAAGAGGGGAGAGAGAGGGGGGGGGAGGATAGCGTTCAATCCCCCAACAATCGGGGGAGATATGGAACAAGCGGGGAGGAGAAAGAGGATGTGAAAAGGCGAGACGGATGACAGCGAGTGAATGCAGCAAACCGGAGATGGGAGGAGGGGATTCGGCGACACAGGCGCAGACACAGCGAAGATGATGGGGTTTGGATGGTGGACCTTGACGCCGGGCGTTGGGCTCTGGATGGTTGCCGTGCCGCTGGCCGCAACTGGATTAGCCGCCGCAAGCGAGGTTGCTCGCCTCAGTTCTCAGGCTGAATCTATCTATTCTGCCTACATATAGGGATCAACTGTGTCTTATTCTACATATATTCTATATATCACATATATCACATCTTTTTTATGGAAATTACCACCAATCAAAATAACCTGGACTTACCATCCCCTCTATATTAAAGTTCACACTTGTCAATCTGCCCACCATAGAGATCTATGCAATCAAGCGCCCAACTTCAAGATCACCTGCCTAGTCTTTAAGCGCCCTTTTTGCCAGCCACCCAACCAGTCAAACAGCCAAAAACAAACATGTATTATATCTAAACCAAGCTTTAAATCCGAGAGGTAATTCGTAGCGTTCTCCAACCTCCCACTGCGTACCTCGGACTACCGTCGGAACTTAACCTCTAATATGACCGGGGTTTTGGGCTATTATAGCGTTCCCTCATCTTCCTTCTTCCTAACTCTCCTGCGGGGTCACCAAAAAGCCAACCCCCCAAAAAGAGGGGGGTTTTAATCTCATGATCGGCGCGCGCGCATTCCATCCTGACGTGATCTGACGCTGTCAGCCCATCCGGAGTAGATTGCACAGGTATCCCTGGATTGGGGTAAAAAATGTTGATCGATTGAACAGGCTTGTTTTTCTTGAAAGTGACATGCCCTGATGGGCAGGTGACTGCAGGTGTTCGTTTGGTTTTAGCATAGTTGGCATGGATGTCTCAGTGCGGAGTAATCAATCTCCCCACTGACCGCCGGTGTCTCTAGTACTGTTGGTTAGCTTGGCATAAGCTTGGTATCACACAATTGGGGGCATTATTATTGCTGATTGCAAGGGTTCTCTTGTGTGTCATTAGATCCTTTTGAAGGGCAGTGTTATTCTTGGGATGATTGTAAGGGACGTCGTCTTCTGAATGTGAGGGGAAACAACTTAGTACCATGTGAAATTCAAAAGTGTGATAGGTGCTATAGCCACTCACTGTAGGTTTAAGATGCCGAACTCAAACATTCGTAACTACAACTATCTATAAATGCTTTGAGACATACAAATCACTTTACGTGAAACACTCAATAGGCAGAACTATCTGAGTCTATTGCAAAAGTCTGTTCGAATTGGTCGTGCGGCTACAGAGTAGCGATCAAAATATAACCTAAAGTAAAAAAGATGATGTGTCTATAAAAGTTGAAGATGGTGAGTCCTGCGATCCTCCTGGCTGACCTATCTCGTAATCCAATGCTGATCCGCACTGTTCCTCCGCAATGCCTGCTGGCTACTCCCGCAAAATACCCGCAATAGCACTCGTAAAGAGCACAAGTTTGCATACGGTTGGAAGCCAAATGGAAGACCGAGAGGCTCCAGAGCATGTCATATACACCACATCAACATGATCAGGGCAATCGACTAACCCAAAATAGATCTCCGACCATACGAGGGCGCTCACGACTGTCACCGAACCGAGACACGGCACGGCATTTGACGGCCTACGGGGTCATAGCCAGCATCTTTCCTGTCCCCTGATACTGGTAGTGGTGCCCCTGTCTCGGTCCAGAAGCTGTTGGTGGTCCTTTCGCCTCAAAGTATTCCGGAGATTGGCAGGCCAGATGTCATCCATGTTAATCATCTGTGCGTTGTATGGCCCAATAATCGATGCGAAACGTCTGGAAACCGTGTGGAAATATCATAGCGCCATTTCTGCCCGCAAATGTTGAATGAAATTGCTGTGTCAGGTCGCAGTCAGGAGCTCTGCCTCGCGCATGCCGAGTTCTGTTCGGTCGCCGGAAAAGTCATACTCATCACCGCTGCTACTGTCATCCTCTTCCGTGAACGTCGCAGAGATCAGTTCGGCATACAGGGACTCGGTTGGCTTCCTCATGACCGTCCCTTTAGGTGTCCGGAAAAACCCGAGCTGCGGTGGACACAAAACAATCCGGGATCGCTGGATTTTTGCGTGCTCGGAGGCAACGGAATTGGCTTCGACGACAGATGGCCAAATGGCGTCCAGTAGCTCGTCTCTACTCATTTCTTGATAGGAGCTTTGCCTGGCTTCAATGAGAAGCACTGGTTCGGGACGACCATTCCCCACAATCAAAGCCCCTGTAACATGAGGATCTCCTCTCAGGATAGTCTCCATGGGAATAGGCCACACTTTGAGCTCATTTTCCAGCACGATTATATCTTCGGTGCGCGAATGAAAGTGCCACAAACCAGCTTTGTTGGGATGAGGCTTGAATAGATCTTTAGTGCGCCACGTGTGTACCTTGGGATAATTATGAGCAAGGGATAGATATGGCCGTGAGCTCTCGACTGGGTGCAGAACCAGCTCATAGACGTCATCACCCACAGCCTCCATCTCAATTTCCGGCAGATTGTTGAACTCGATATATTGCCACTCTCCTGGCTGGGGATTGAGCGCCTGGATGTGACATGTCTCAATAGAGCCATACATCTGGCGTATATTTGTTACCTCACTGAGCTTATTCCCAACACTAGGTGCCAACGCCGCTCCACCACAAAGGATGAAATCAAGCCGTCGTGCCTGGTCATAAGCATCTGGCTCAAGCATCCACTGCTCTACCAGAAATGGGGGAACATAGATGGCTCGTATCTGCGGCTGTTGTTTCATGATGGAGCTCAGCAGGGCCCCGCTTGGTGGGACAGTAAGAGGACCCATGACGAAAGCAGCCGTACGTGAGATGAGAGGCAAAAGGGTGAATGCATGGAGGCCAGCGAGCTGTTTATCCATGAGCTCAAGAATACGAAGGCCGCGTAGAGTTACTTACGTGGTGAGGCGGAAAAGGGGAGTAATAGCGTCCTGGTGGAGAGAAATTGAATTGATCTGCATTCTGCGCACGACGTCCCTCTGGGACAGACATGAATGTATCATTATCAGCGCAGGCGAGAGTGCCGTGGGTGTATTGGACCAGTTTTGGCTGGCCTGTTGTGCCGGAAGTGTGCAGAATCAGACAGCGCTTGTTCTGGAATTCTTTAAAAGAAGCATTCCAGTGGAATGGAGGGGACTTGGACTTGAAAAGCTCGGCCAGTGTTGGCACCGGCAAAGATTGCATGAAGGGGTCGAATTGCTGAAGACTTTCTGCTGCCGAGCACATGACGTCCGCATAGAGAAGGCCATAGACGTTTGCTTCCTGCAAAAGGCCCAAATTCTGGATGGGGGTGTTTTGAGGAGAGACGAACATTGCCTGTCTCATGGGTCAGTATCGGATACTATTTCTAGAGAGAATAGACACATACATTCCACCCGCACTTCATGAGCGCCAGCAGCAAAATGGGGTAGCGGAGGTCAGGGGGGCCAATGTAGGCCAGTGTTGTCTTTTTGGGCACTCCGTCAAAAGCGCGTTCAAGCCACCAAGCCATATGGTCTACTGCCGTCGCCATCTTTTTCACGCTTATGTCTTTGTAACCATCCATGACGCTTTTCGTCTTGGGGATAGCAGCGAATACGCGATCGGGCTCGTCATGGGCGTAGTAATCGAGAATGTCAGGAAGCAGTCGATGTCCTCTAAACTTTTCCCCGCCCCGAACCCACGACTCCGTGCCGTTACAAGCAGCCATTTTAAAATATGGTAAAGACCGCCTAGTTCTCTAGTAGATGGGATCTGAGAAGACCTGCCGATCCCCAAGGCCGTGTCTGAAAATGAGGTTGTTGTCGCTTGTGATATGACTGCCCGGGGGAAATTGGCCGTGGCGGGCTAATTCAAACTCTTGTGGTGGGTAGGCAGTCAGTCAGTAAACCAAGTGCAAAGGACCTTAGCCCAAGCAAATGCCACAGACTGGATGCGACTAAGCACGTTTTCACCCCTCGTGGGAATCCATCGACCTGCGTGTCTAGGTCTGCGCTAAATTGGTCTTTCGTTCAATGATAGTTGGGCGACCCGTGCCTGCAATATGCATAATTGAGCCCGTGGGCCGCACCAGGAACCTCCGTGAAGAAGGAGGAAACTAAGAGGAAGACTGCCGTACTGTAAGTGTAATCGGCTGAACGGACCGGAGGAAGGTTCAGTCAATTGTAACTACTAACTGACTAGCAAGCACACTGAGAGTGGGCTCTTTGCTCGGAAATGGCCGCTGTCCCGCGCCACGACGACTGGCGGGCCGCTGGCACTTGTACCAACGAGTCTAGTAGTTCATACGCTCTTTTCGTTTGGCACCCCCCCAATTGTGCGCTCTTTGATGATGGCCAGGTTTAACTTAGGACCAGCTTATCGTATGACACGGACGTACAAAGGCGCAAACACCCCTTTCATCTTCTGCACTGCACCATGTGGCGCCTGGATGGCCATGAGGTGCTCCGCAGTTGTCTCGACTATTTGGTTAGCGGAATGATAGAAGCACTAGGGAATGCCGATCAGCCTGGCCCAAGTGTGCGCCCGTGGAATTGAAGGCTGCTCCACAATTGCATCTGCGATTGTCGTTTCCAGATCAATTCCGCTCCGGTGGAAGTTGGCATGTTCCGGCAGCCGGCCAAGATGGAATTTGCGATTGACGTCTTAACGGGCCGGCTCACCATGGTTGAAGGGTGGAGGTTAGAATTTGCGGGAACATCATTGATCGAACCCCAATTGCAGGATTCTTCCAAGAGCCGATAGAGGAAATCCTGGGAGACTAATGACTTCATTGACCGGCCACTTCCTTCCTGAAGCGTCAGGCAAAGTCTCAATTTTGATGTTTTGTGTCCGTCGGTTTTATGAACCGCGCTTGGAAATAAGCGGTGACGGTTACAGTAGATGCCGAAGGAAGCGAGGCCAGAGATAAATGGCCCCCATAGATCCGTAGAGGCCATCCGGTGAGACCATCATTGGGTACGGATGATAAATGCGCAGTCCGGGCCCGTTTCGCTCGATGCTTTGATTCGCAGAACGGTTAATGGCGCATCCTCGCGCGCCCCGAATTAATCGACGGCGTCCGGAGAAAACGCCCGACCCAAAGGTCATGGCTAAAGGATGGTCCTAGTATTAAGCATTTCACTGCTAACGGCTGCCAAAAGCCATCTTTGCCCTTGAGATGGGTGACGGCCAGAGCTTATTGCTGAGCTTTTTGAGCAGATGTAGACCAACACTATATGAAGGGTCCAGCCACAATGAGCAGGTGCCAACGAAGCATCTGCAATCGCGGGCGTATCTCCTCCAATTCTATATGTTATGCATCGCAGACTCGTCGTCAATAAGTGGACTCACAGCCGATGTCTGAGAGATAGAGACACTGTTGAGAAGAAAAGCATTAGACCTGCTATACCAAACCGAGGAGCACCATCAAACCTCTGGTAAACTATTCTATCGAGTATGCAACAATCGAGAGAATCGTCACAAGGCGGTTGATTTGAATGATAGCCCATAGGCACATCTTGAGTGTCTAGAGCATGCGTCGGGTTGTTGAGAATCGGACTCCGTCCATTCGGTCAGTGGTCGCATATTGCGAGTCAGGCAGATAAAAATTGAGAGAGACAACAAGAGACGAGACGCTTCTAAGACGATCAGAGACCCACGGCGATCTTGTTAGTCTGATTAGCAGGCACTGAGATGAAGCAGGCATATCACTATTAGAGGCGCTCGGTGTTCAACGTCGGGAGCATGAATCGAATGGTTCAGCTTTCAGTTCGAAAAGGATTCACCAACTGGCTGTTAGGTGATCTAGCTGAGAGTAGGATCCCGATTTTGGAGAGGGGAATGCAGATAATTTTCATTTGTATGAGCCGGTCGCGCTCATCTTCGGCTCTCGACACTAGAATTGCCTAATTTATGCAAGAGAGCTGCGCCGCAAGCTGGACTGCAACCAGATGCGACTATCGTACGCTAGTGAGAGGGCCAGACCACGACATGGGTTTCTAGTAGGGTCGTTAAAGTGTGATCGCAGAAGATAGTAATACAGTCAGTGAGGAGATGAAAGCGGTTAAGTAAAAGTTGATCTCCACGATGTGTTTACTACTCATGATGGGTGATTTCGGGGTTTTCTTTGTCCTAATACGCCTCAGTCCCTCCCGCCGCCCCATTGAATATAAATAGCATCAGGCCCACTGGGATAGATCATGTTGTTGGTAATCCTATATTTACTACCGAGTTATGAGTGTGTATAATCAGTAAATATGTCCAGTACAATAAATTGATGTGTACTGTCCAGAGTTTGCTTGGGCCATTGACCAGGTTTTGAAGCCTTAACGCAAAATCCTACCGGAGCTTGCTGATATTGCAATTCGTGCCTAGCCAAAAATAAGATTCTTAATGTACTGCCCAATCTTGCTCATTGTTCCGGTATCTGCCTCATAACCAACAGCCGCCCTCGCCCGATCTTCTTCATCAAAAGCAGCTGCCGCCGAGAAGTCCATTTCTGACGGCCGTACCAGCTTGGAGCGATAGTAGATCTAAACGAACGGTCAACGTATTTCAGTGAGACTTTCCGATGATCATCACTCACCTTGTAGCCGAAGTAATCTAGGAAGAATAGAGGCGCCGCGATGTAGGATGAAAACCAACTCTTTGCAGACCCTTTCTCGCCGAAGGGGAAGCACGCTAAGTAAAATTCGCATCCTGCGATGAAGAGGACCACAACGAGACCAAGATACTGGGCGTAAGGAGCCACTCGGTCTCGGAAAGGCAGTGTCTTTTTATCAATACCCTGCGCAGCAAGACCCTGTCGGAATCGGATGTGGGAGATGAAGATTCCGGACCATTGGAATAAGGCGGATACAGATACCCGTGGGATGTCAGTATAGGATATCAACGATCTCAAATAAGTGAGATACTAACCAGGGATGAGAACCAGCCATAGACGGTAGCTCCGGTGTCGTTACAATTGAGGTAGCATAAAGCCCCTCCTATAGTGAGGCTGAGGGCTAGAGAGACGTAGGGCCTTCCGACAGTGTCTTTGCGGCCAAAGAAAGGATGCAAAATGGCCATGTCAGACAAGGCTGCAAGACTGCGACTAGCGATATAGGCACTGGTGATGCCACAGCTAATCACTGTCAAGAATATGAAGCCGTTTATGATGTGCGCTAGCCACATCACGCCTGCACGCTCAATGGCAATGACGAATGGGCTTCCTAATGTGCCACTTCCATTGATGAGGTTTTCATCATCATAAGGGACACACATTCCCACAAGCCAAATGTTGACCACGAAGAACGAAAACATGCGCCAAAACACGGGGTATACAGTTCTCTTGATGGTACGGCGGGGGTCCTTGGCTTCTCCAGCAATGACTGCGATATGCTCTCCGCCACCGAAGCTGAACAGAGCTTGGACAAACGCCTTAGAGATACCTTTGATGCCGTTGTTGAATGCGCCGGGATTGCGCCAGTAGCGAAATTCGATTGGGCCATGTGTGGCCGGGATACCGCCCGAAGTCATGATGAACATGAAGAAAATCATGACAAATATCGCCAGAACCTTGACGAAAGACATGATATACTCAACATGACCGTAGACCCGCACACCGAAACAATTGGCTACGGCAATGACTACCAGGAAAATAGTGATATACGCTGCAAGTGGGACAACCTCTGTTGCTGGCCAGAATTCAAGCACAGAAACAGCTGCAGTTATTTCGGCAGGAATACAAATTACCCACTGCCAGTAACGATCAGTCGCCCATACATCGTCTTGATTTGGCCGAGCTACCTACCGAGAACCAGAAGTTGATGCCGACTGCGAATCCAAATGCAGGCTCCACGTATTCAATACATTGTCTGATAAAGCCTCCATGGACCGGCTTGAATGTCGTCATCTCACCGATAGAGGTATACTGCAAGTACACTATGAATCTAATAATGATAGGTTGGCATGTCAGCAAACCCGCAGCTGTAGCGCAGCTTGATAGACTTACGCAGTGATTGTGTATGCAACGGCGATGCCACCAGGGCCAGCTACATGCTGCAATTAGTTGCAAAATTCTTGGCCGCTTCGCTCAGGGGAGCCTCACCATACTTCAGTGCAGTACCTGTACCGACCCATCTAGATGATATTGTCAATTAAAGTGAGCCAGCAGCATATAGGGTTCGTCCTACAAGCCAGTTCCCACACCAGCGCCGAAGGTCATCATCATAATCTGACGACTACCGAGCGACCGGTGGTAACCAACATCCTCGTTCGCTCCTAAGAGCTCACTGTCTCCCTTGGCAACATCTGTCTTTTCAAGGTCGGTGTCGACAACGGTGTCTTTGACGTCCACTATCTTCGGCATTGTAACGATAGCTTACTCCACTGACTACATGACCATCGGAGAGAGGGCCTATAGCGGCATTTTATATGTTAGTTCTGGTGAATGTCACAAAAGGTATGATAAGTGTCATTGGCCATTATAGCCGTCGTATCTGGAAAGCGGCAGCGAAATGGAGACATTGCGTCCGAGATAAGCTAGGTTGGAGCTTTGATAGCGACTCGCGGCGTCAACAGCCAGTTGTAGATAATAGTACGGAGTAGTCCGAGTCTTTCCCCATTTCTGTATGAGGAAAAGCTGGAGTTTACTGGAAGCAAAAGTGGGGTTGCTGATCATCTGTTCTGTATGAACCCTGTCTCCTAGTTTGGAGTCAGGTGTATAAGAAGGTAGACCAATGGCTTAGGCAAGTCGAACGAACGCTAAACTCTCAGTCACTCCCAGCTCTTCTCATTTGATCCCTACGATAGATCAGCACCAGCACCAGCACCATGACCGGAAGTAAGAATGTGGTGTTCGACATTGTCGGCACGCTGGTCTCCTACGATGTCCTCTTCGAAGCGATCGACACGCAACTGGGCGACCGTCTCCGTGCGGAGGGAATCAAGCCTTCCTTATTAGGATACACATGGATCGAGGTTGCGGAGCGCGAGTACACATATCTGAGCTTGTCAGGCCAGTATAAGACATTCGCTACTTGTCTGGAATTGCTCTTCTGGCGAATGCTCAAGATGGCAGGCATCCAAGACCCGCGAAGCTTTGCCACAAAGAGCGATCTCGAGTTTATCATGAGTAGGTATGCCAAACTTGGACTCCGCCCAGGAGCGGCCGAGTGCGTCACTAAGTTGCGTGATGCTGGGTTCACTGTCTGGGCACTCACAGCGGGGGACGCCGCGAGAGTGGGGGGATATTTCGCCAACGCTGGACTCGAATGGCCCGCAGAGAATCTGAAATCCTGTGACTCGCAGGGAATAGGCAAGCCAGACTTGCGGGTGTACCAACCGCTCCTCGAGCAGCTCTCCCAGCACGGACAACCCTGGTTTGCTGCTGGACATATGTGGGACGTTTCGGCGGCTCGCCGTGCGGGGTGAGTACAGATGCACTAAATGATGCGTTATCGCGGTGGATACAGGACTAAGCTCACACATGATACAGGTATAAAGGAGCGTACTGCACCATCTGGGAAAAGGAGCCAATTGTGGAATTATTTGGAGAGATGGAAGTCATGGCAGACACTCTGCCAGCGATGGCTGACAAGATAATTGCTGCGGAAAATAAATGAGAAGGGAGAAGTTGACGGCCGAGAGGCAGGCATATCGGCACTAGCTTGGTCACTAGATATTACTAGCCTGGGAAGTGTGTCAGCTACTGATAGATATGATACGTAGCCAGTGCAGTACTTCCTGTAAGATAATAGCACATGGGGCCTATCTTGCAGATCCATTTCGTTTCTGATAATACCCCAAAGAATGTTTATCTTCCACACAGACTTACTTACTATTGGAAACAGACATCTCGCTGGATCTACTGCTATCTGCCCTTCTGATGCATTTCCTTCCACTCCTGTTTGGAATACCATCCCACCGTCCTCTCCGACTTTTCGGTAAACCATTCATCTTGCAAAAGATCTTTCGCGGTAGGCCGATTCCTTGGGTCAAGCTTCATAATCCTAAGAACAAATGCCTTGTCTGCATCACAAATCTCCCTTTCATGCAGGAGCCGAAACGGTTTCAGTTTTTCAGGCGGGATTACAGACATAATGCACAATACTTTCTTGTGTCTCCTAATCGCAAATCTCTTTGTAAGAGATAGGGAACGGTCCAAACCACTGGTGATGAAGCACCAGGATCTTGACATCGTATAACTCGTCGCCTTCTGGTACATCCGGCTCAAATATGTGGAAATTGAAACCCCAAATTAGATTAATCAGCTATTGATGCATTAGCTTTGCCATCACATATCAAGGGATTAAAGTCAACTAACCGTCACCCCAAAACTCCAGATGTCTGCAGCAGTGCCCCACGGAATCTCAAGATGAACCTCAGGGGCCCGAAAGAGGCTTGTTCCGGTCCGCACACCATCTTTAGCGTACTCCGAATCAGTAGTGACAACACCCCCACAGTCGGCCAGTTGAACGTCTGGAAATCGACTCTCTCCATTGCCGTAATTTACGAGAATGTTGCTTGGTTTTGTATCTGGAAGCAATGTCAGGACAAACACTATGTGTGGCGACACGGGATATTCTCAAACCTGTGTGAACATAGCCATCCTCATGCAACAATTGCAAGGCTTCCAGTACATTCTTCGCCACATACTTGATTTCTGGCCTGGTAAGTCTTTGCTTCCTAGACGCCCGTGTCACGTCGTCATCAAGATACTTCAGAATTATAGCCGGGGGCTCCACTGGATCTTGGATCTCATCCAGGAGGGGGCGCAGGTTCGGGCAGTGACCTTGAAAACGATTGAGAACGTCACGCTCATTGTGGAGGCGCCAATGGCCTTCAACGCTCTTCACGACAACGGGTTTCTTGTGTTGATTCCTATCGGTCACGGCTAAGTGTTCTAGATGGCTTATACCGGGCATGGCCAGCACTTACACTGCAAAGTAAACGAATTCCAAAATCTGCTGGGTTACTTTATAGATACCTACTCTACCTTTAAGACGTTGACCCACAGAAAATAGAGCCTTGGCTGGCATTGTACATTTTCTTGAGCCGCACCTAGGGAGTAGGAATTAACATGGGAACCCGTGGCATTCAGAACCGCGCCAAGGTTCCAAGCAGGTTATGTAATAGGCTGGTACTGTTTATCACAAGTAATCCATAACTCAACAGAAAGAGGTTGCCAGAATTAAATTATGCAGAAAAAGAAGAAGTATGGCTGGAAGCCGCATTAGCTAGATCACTGGGAGAGACCACAGATCTGAGAAGCGTTAACATGGAGGACTCATGTGCTGATAAGCCTATCCTGAGATGTTCGAGTCATGTCTCCACCCGACAGAATATACCTTCAAACGGCTGTGTATTCTTACTCCATCATTTGCCCACCGGAGATGCTTCTAGCCGTCAGTGTATGAGACATAAAATAAACACCAGCCAATGGATACCGTCCCCATGAATTTGTCTACAAGGTATCGCAGGGAAAGTGGCCTAATTGGATAGGACCAGCAAGAACGCCATCACATGTCAGTTGTTGCTCTTCGCCGATCACTGCTACTTTGTACTATTCTCTGATAAGCTGATAGACTCAGTAGGCCGCGCATGCACAGGAACAACTCATTGTCACCCACGAATCATGCCCACTTATTCTATCTCGATCATGTCGATGTTTAAAACAAGAAAGACATCGCCACTGCTTTGGGTCAGGTACATATGATGGATATGGGTGAGCCACAGGAACGATCGTCACTTCTTGGTATCATGTACCAGTCTAAACCTATTTGGGTAACTCCCTCCACGGCCTCCCCCGGTCTCCGCGGGGACTAAACCCGATACTATCAGGTACTGATTTTGAGATTGAAGTATAAGACGAGCGATGGCTGACTGGCCTCATCAGCAATCCACTTTCAATCCAAGCACTTTTCCAAGTAATATACCAATATGCCTGCTGTACAGAAGGTGAGTCTACTCTCTTTAGCTATATGATCTAGCTAACATGCCTAATCAGGCCATCATCATCGGTGCAGGTCCCGCCGGCCTCGCTGCCGCCCTCCAACTGCACCGTAACAACAATATTGCCATTACCGTATACGAGTTACGCCCGGAACCAACCACCCTGGGTGGTGCTATAGGTCTATTTCCAAATGGAATGCGCCTGGTTCATCGACTAGGGCTGCATGATGAAGTTGTCGCACGCGGATTCTCCGTCACCGACATGGAGATGCACTCTCTGCCAAACGGTGACATTGCCAAAGTCGACATCTCTCGCTGGGCAAGCCAGAAAACTGGCTTCGGATACTTGCGTATTCGTCGCAAAGACCTTCAGAGTGTTTTCCTTGACGCCGTTGCAAAAGACCAAATACCTGTCCACTACAACAAGCGCATTGTCTCCGTCACCGAGTCGCCAACAGATGTCACCGTGACCTTTTCCGACGGCTCAACTGATACAGCCGATATCCTGCTCGGATGCGATGGTCTTCACTCTAGTGTCCGTCGACTGCATGTCGATCCGTCCATTGTGCCCGAATACTCCGGTATCGCGGGAACACAGTCCGTCATTGACTGCACAGGCCTTCCGGGGGAGCTGAGTACGCATGCCAACGCCTTTCTCACCCGCACGGGTATTCTGGCGATGATGCCGTGCTCTCCGTCTGGTGATAAGCTCTTCTGGTTCTTCTCCCGGGAAACCCCTATCCCTCACTCGGAATCTGGCAATGCGCGAGACGGATGGGAGGAGCGACGTCAAAAGGAGGTTGCGGAGTACAAGGATACCATTCTGAAGATTATCGGCGAAGGCAAGGGTAAATGGCCGGAGGCACTGACGGAGATGGTGAATCGGACGGACGTCGTTGGGTTTTATCCCATCTTCCGGCTCCCGCTGGGCGGGAAGTACCATACATCTCGAACGGTGCTGCTCGGGGATGCAGCGCATGCGATGCAGCCTCATGCGGGCCAGGGAGTGTCCATGGCATTGGAGGATGTGTTTCTGCTATCGCGGTTACTGAAAGACGATCAGCGGAGCTTGGAAGATGCATTTGCCAAATACGAGGCGATCCGCAGACCGCGCATCACGGAGATATACAATCTGGCTGCCAAGAACGGAAAGAAGCGAAAAGATGTCAGTCCGTTGGGGTTGTGGGTGAAGGAGAATATGGCGTGGGCTGCTTATGGACTATATAACCGGTTAGGGTTGGAAGCTTGGGGAATTGGTCAGAAGCATTTGGTCTATGATATTGATGAGGTGAAGATCTGATTGATTCGGACTGGCACATCTTTTTTTTTTTTTTTTGTTTTTTTTTTTCTTTTTCACCTTTCTTATTGTGAATATTTTCGGAGGGGTTCGGACTCTCTACTCATTCCTGTACCTTAATGCGGCGCTAATAGCGATGTCTCGGAAGCATTTATCATGTTGGGAACTCCATTCACCGGGAAGCTCTATGAGTGGTCTATTTCAAGCCTAGAATATACGCAGCGGTACCGGGGTATAATGTGTCGTATTATCCATGTCCTAGGGGGGTGTAGAAAGCGCAGACACAAGCTGGCCAGGGATGAATGTAGTGAGATTTTATGTCATGCATTGACTGGAGACGAGGACAGCCCTGCTCAGTGCTCAGCCATAGTATGATGGAGCTCAATCCCCTGAAGTGGCTGTACTGTGTGTAAAGGGGATCGGGGTGATTACTGGTGCCAGGATTTAGGGCGCCGTAACTAGTTCTGAATCTACTACTCATGCATTCCCAGCTCTAAAGGTAGACGGAATACGAGGAACTGATTCAAGAAGGAAGGTGAGTGAGAAACTGTCAAAAACTGTTGAGAGTTTAGCAGTAGTATCTAGTCAGTAGTTAGCGATTATCCAGTGGATCCTAAATGGAGTGCATTTTTGTGTGTGTAAGTTTGACCAACAACGGGTTTGACTGGGTCAGGGCAAGAGAGGGAAAAAAAAAAAATAAAACAAAAAAAGAAACATCCCACCATCTCCTCCACCACGAGGATGACTGGGGAAAATAGAAACAGAAAAAGGAAAAGAAAAATTGAAACCGGGAAACCGGACTTGCCCATTCATCGGCATCCCCTCCCTGCCAGAGCATCCGGGGGGCTATAAATATACTAACTGCCATGAAATGGATCAATGGTCCAATGGTAAAGCAGCAGTGCCAGGCCCCTTGGTCCCGGCGTGATCCCCCTCTCTTTTCTGGACCAACGCGCTCTTTCTCTCTCTCTCCACCCTCATTATAGTAACAGCGACTATCGCGAAATAAACCACCGTCTAGCCTGCAACGTCTGAGACAAATCTCTAACCTTAGTAACAAGCGGCCGTGCGGTGACGATTCTTCAGCTGGGCCATCACTGGGTCGATCCCTCCTTCCCTTTGATTACTATGGGGGAAGTCGTTTAGCTGCCAGTGGGATTGGTTGGTTGAGCTGTGATGCTGGGCGTCCATTTTGATGCTATTTGTGCCCATTCGGTCAGCGTGGTGGGAGGCCGTACCGATTCATGTATATATATGGAGTGAGATGCCTGGATTGTGAGGGTACAAGGATGCATCTATTCTAATTTCTAAATACTCCTTCATATTATCATCATCATCATCATCATCATAATCATTACCAGCTGGCTCCCTCCCTGCCTCGTCATCTCCTCTATATCAAATGCTATTATAGTGAAGCTAAGTTACTACTCAAGTTACTTCCCGTCGACTTAACCACGGTTGAGTATTTAATCGTGTTTGAAGGTGCGTATCCGTTTATTTCCCACCCCCCAAATCTTTCAATTGTTTTCTCGTTTCTTTCCCTTCCGGATCAGCGTCAGCCTCAACGCTCGACCGCCTTCCCGAAGGAACGAGACAAGTCTTTTGCTGGGCCCCCCCAAATCCACTTCTCCCAGATTATCATCCATCCATTCATTCCCCCGGCAAAAGCTATCCACCCCCTCCCCATTTTCCCTGGCTTCCTCCTCATTCTTGTATTCTTTAATTTTTAGGGGGAGGGGCTTCATCAACTATTTTTCAATTTTCTCCCCTCCTTCCCACAAATCGCATTTCCCCAAAAAAACTTCCCACCGAATTCCTCTTACCTTATCCTTGACCATTGTCCCGACCGCAGTTCTGGCCAGCCTTGCCTGCTGCTGCCTGATTCTTATTCCGTTCCGGGTTCCGCCAGGGCTCGTCAGCGCCCTCGCATTGCCTCGACCCATTCGTGCATTCTCGCTTCATCGATTCAGGGATCTGTGATCCCCAGCCGGTTCGTGAAAAAATGGCTCAACAACAGACTGATAATGTGATGCGAAGGTATGTTCCCGCCCTGTTGTCTGTCGTTCCTGGGTTCCGGTGTGCACCTGAGGCCATCATGTTATCTACTGCCGATTTCTGGTTCCCGTTATCAGCCCACCCGCTGTCACTCGACCGGATTGCTCGTATAGAGGGGGTGCGGGGGTGCAGCCAGCCCCAATGCATCATCCATGCCATGAACGAATGGGGCATTGAGCTGACCTGCATGTAGGAAGTTGGTGATCATCGGGGACGGTGCCTGCGGAAAGACCAGTCTGCTCAGCGTCTTCACCCTGGGCTATTTTCCAACCGTAAGTCAACCCTCTTCTCCAATGCGCTGATCGATGGAGTTTCATTGGCTAACCGGTTTCTGATCTGTAGCACTATGTTCGTACCTATCACCTCCTTCGCTGACTACTTAGCATGCATCTGACTGTCGCGTGTCAACCAGGTTCCGACGGTGTTTGAGAATTACGTGACGGATTGCAGAGTGGATGGCCGTTCGGTTCAATTGGCACTATGGGATACTGCTGGTCAGGAAGATTACGAACGATTGCGTCCGCTCGCTTATTCCAAGGCGCATGTGATCCTTATTGGGTTCTCCGTGGACACGCCCGATTCGCTGGAGAACGTCAAACATAAGGTTGTCTGACCAATCTGTTACTGCTGGACTGCGCTGACCGGTTCTTGTAGTGGATTGAAGAAGCGAACGAACGATGTCCGGGTGTTCCTATCATCCTTGTCGGATTGAAGAAAGATCTGCGGGAAGATCCTCTGGCCGTCGAGGAGATGAGAAAGAAGTCGCTAAAGTTCGTGACGTCTAAAGAAGGAAGCGACATCTCAACGCAGATCGGAGCACGCAAGTATCTCGAGTGTTCCTCGTTAACCGGCGAAGGCGTCGACGATGTATTCGAGGCGGCCACGCGTGCCGCGCTCCTGACGTTCGACAAGCGAAAAAGCTCATGCTGCATTGTGCTATAATGGGGAAATGACGACTTTGCGATAGATACGTCGCCGACTCTGATGGTATTTCAGCGATTTGCATGCCAGCCATGATGGGTTTATTTGCTATGCGCTTCGAGCATGTTGCACTTGCAGTTGCCGCGCGACACGCGTGTGCCAGTTTGAATTGGATTTCGAAGAAAAGGGAGAGTGAAGGTGACGGATGTTGATCGATATATCTTGCATTTGCGGCGTTTGGGAGGGCCTCTTCTTTTGTGTTCGAATATCATGTTTCGCATGTTGACATACCCTTGGTCTCCGGGGGGGACACGCTTGGTGACATTCGTTCATTTGGTGTTTGCCTTCTTCAGTGTCTTCTTTGCCTGTTGTCAGTGTTGTTTGCCTTCTTCTGTGTCTTACTGTCACTAGCGGTTATACCTGTATTGAAATTGTATCCACCAGTCTATACTACACTTTACACAGTAGACACAGTAGACACACAGTACCTACACAATAGACTGACCGAAAACAACCCATAATATAGTAACATATTGTACAAACAGATAGACAGAAACATACATGACAATAGTAATATAACAAACCCTCAACTAACCCCCTCTATATTCTACCCCATTCCCATCCCCAATCCCCCTTCTCCTCCATCACATTTCCCCTTTCTCCTTAATGAAAAACCCCCTCTCCTCCTCCTCCGGAGATATCTCCTTCGGAGATAGGAACCATTTAATCCCTCTTCCACTCATGATTCCACCCCTCCCTCGCAGGCCCATCCGTCTGCAACCGGGCATACTCAATGGGGACCAAATCCCTAAACACACCCGTCTTAATCATACTCTTGCGGAACAATTTCCCGCCATCGCCCGCACCAGTACGCAGTTCCTCACAGGCGGCTTGCATCGCCTGCCACTGTCTCTGCAGCTCCAGCTCGTGCTTCCGCCGCTGCTGGCCCTGGTAGAGGTTCCATGCCCGGTGGATCGTCCAGTGTCGGAGGAAGCGGGTACGCGAGAAGCGCAATGGGCGGGGAGTGAGGGGGTGGTGGAGGAAGTAGCGGATCAATGCTATTATTTTGGGGTAGTGGTTAGTAGGTGTGGTTGGAATTGGGGGGAGGGATTGGGGTTGGAAGGGGGGTACGGACTGATTCTGCGGTCGCCGCGGAAACCGGACTCCTTTCGCTTTTGGAGCGTGGTGGTTGTGCTGAATTGGTTGGTTTGGTATTGAGGCTGGAATTGAGATTGGGTTTGGCGGAGAGTGTTGGTGATGGTGTTGCTGGTGCTGGTGAGGTTTGGGCGGGTCATGGGGATGCGGAAGACGGATGCCAGGGAGGCGAGGACGGGGGAGAGGGTGCGCATTTTGATTTTTCTTCCTTTCTTTTTCTTAGTTCTTCTCTCCGGTGATTTCTGGGTTGGGTGTTGGGTCGGGGGCGGTGGTGGTTTCTAAGAATGTTCGGAAGACAGACACTGCGCGCCGGAGCGGAAGTTTAGGTGGATTTAGTTGGGTCTGACTTACTGGGTTAGCCTGGTTGGCTTGCCTGGTCGGTTGGTTATCTGCCGCGCGCTAAGTAAGCGCCGTTTCTGCCTTTTTTGTATTCCGTGTATACTACAATCGGTTTGTAGGATTACTATGTATAAATGCTTAAAATTACTATTATTCGTACGATTCATTCGAAGGGAAAAGGTATATATTCGCACTTTTACCAAGGCATCTGCATCGCTCGTCATCAATTGCAAAGAGCTCAAAACCAGCAAAGAGTGTATCTCAATCCATCAGCCTAAACGCCAGAAATGCTTCCATCATCTCTCTCACTATCGATCAGCCTTTCCAGCCCGCTTCTTCGATCGATCGTAGTTCAACACCTTGCGGCGTCGGTGCGTCTGCGCCAATTTCCACCGACAATATAACACCAGCGCATCCTTCAACAGCACGAATGCACATCCTCCGACGACACTCCGGCCCCAGCGGGTCTGCAACAGTCCTGGTCGGGCTTTGCCCAACGTAGATGGCGTCGTCCATGAAGTAGGTAAAATGTACTTCAACAGCC